GAGACATAAAAAAAAACAATACGATAAGATTCTGCATCAACAGTTTCAGCATTCATATTTGTATCGTAAACACTTAAATGCACAGCAGAGGAAAAACTTGGCTTGTTATAATACAAATGTGGGACAAATGCTCCCAGCTTGTATAAACACAATATAAACAGCCGCTGTCATGAGGTCAGCCATTTGAACATTTACTTATTTGTCTGCTCACAGAATGTAAAGTGGTGCTGGAGAACAGTAAATCTCTCCAACACAGTCTGTAACATTCAGTAGTGTTCAGCATTGTTCACTATCGCACAAGATACAGTACATCTGTAAATACAGTGTGCGTGTACATTCTCATGCTTTAATCAAACGTGATAATAGTACATATTTTAAACTCTATTAATGTGCAGTGTGATGACTCGCAGTCACTCATACTGTTCACATTCACACAGCACCAACCAAAGATAGCATATAACTGCAAGCAAAGAGGATCTCCCACATTTGAAATCTGTCTGAGTGAAATGACATAAAAGACAAAAAAAAGAGGAAGTGGTTAATTTAAGACACTTAAAGGTCCAGTGTGAGGGATTTAGGGGGATATACTGGCAGAAATGTAATATCATTCAATGAGTGTGTTTTCTTTAGTGTATAATCACCTGAAAATAAGAATCGTTGTGTTTTCGTTACCTTAGAATGAGATGTTTATATCTACATAGGGAGCAGGTCCTCATTTATAGAGATCACCATATTGTACCGCCATGTTTCTACAGTAGCTCAGAATGGACAAAACCAAACACTGGTTCTAGATAGAGCCATTCGTGTTTTCGTGTCAGTCACCATAATTAGAAGCCCCTTCATGACAAGAGCATCAAAAAAAAAAAAAAAAAAAAAAAGAGCCTGGTCTCACTCCAAAGTCATCGAAATCTGGCACTTGGAAACCAACGAAATAAGGCGTCCTTTAACGTCTGCATGATACGCAGCCGGTTGCTATTGTAATTTAACAGCACCCAGCAGCATCAGGGGAAACATGGCCGGACGAGGACAAAAGTTAAGGTGGCAAGAGTCCAAGTGGGGTGGATGGGTCTAACAAACACTGACTTTCACCCGAGAGAGCAGTGTTCGCATCCCATAAGATGCCAAAGCCAAACCCTGCTCTGTTTTCCTAAACCTAACCATGTGTTTTTGTTGCCTAAACCCAACCACGTGTGTTTGCAGAACTTGACACGGTGTCCCAGAACATCAACAACCAACGCAACCAGGGTACCTTGCTAGTCGTATATTCACGTGAAAAGTCCATGACCAAAACGTCTGTATGTGATGAGGTCGGAGTGCGAATGTGTTAAAAAAACAGTGTGAAAATGCTTTATTCTGATTTTTTTTTTTTTTTTTACCGGTTTGAATCACCAAAGTTGCACCTCGTATAGTTCCAAGTGACAAATTAATGATTGATTGATTAATTGGTTGAACTGGTCCGTTTGTTTTTAGAGAGGATGAGATCTTTGTGGACAAATCGGCTCATGGTATAAACCTCCCCAACATCTGAATAAAACAAGGTGAGCAAACGTTAGCAGGTGCTGGATGAGCGGCTCTTCTGTAACAGCGTAGGAGAAACACCGATTTGTCACATTGAACTTGTGTGTTCTGTGTTTTTACTGGTTTTCATCACCTGGTCTGTTTGTTTTGGAGAGGAAGAGACCTCTGCGGATAATTCAGCTGCTGGTAAAAAACTCCTGAAGGAATTCGAACCGGGAGAAGTTTCCGCTGGTTGCAATCTGCAATCCTAACCGCCAGATGCCACTACATCCCCTTAAATCTCACACACTGTTCCTTAAAGTGTATCACAGTAAACCCAGGAAGCAACTGCTTATGTTTTTGCTCTATCTACAGTATATTATGTACAGTTGATCTAAGTCACAGCAGCGTATCTAATGTGCAGTAAGTGTAATACCCAATGTCACAGGCATACTTACATACAGTCCCAGTGTTCATCTTCTATAGCCATACAAACACTTTCAACTTTAATATCCAAAATTTCATGTGAAAATGGTTAACACAAACTCCATTATCCAGTTGTTAAATAACTGAGGCCAGGTGGGTGAACAAGCAACAAGAAAACTGTTCCAAACTATGTAATAATTCAGGAGAGACAGCTATGGTTCAGCTCCAGATGTCCAAGCCACTGATAACATCAGAGGCCACGACCCCCTAAGGCACAAAGCTCCATGTTTAGCCAGAAAAAGGTAGGTGGGGTTTTTTTTAACATAAAAAGTTCTTAAGAAATGACGAGCCAAGAGAAAAAACGACCAGTCTTATCACTCTTTGTTTGGTCCAGTAATGAGCAACATCACTCACAGGAGCCTTTTCATACTGCCATGTGGAAACAACTTAAAGTGCGTCCTCCATCAGATGAGACAGGAGCCGACTAATCCCACAAGTAATGACTCACAGGTCAAAGTTCAGACATTTGCTTATAACGAAGTTAAGAAGTAACCCAAGGGTAAAAAAGGTGGTGAGGAGCCAAGTCTTTGATGTGCTCACAGGACAGACGCTGTGGAAACTGTTATTTTTGGCATTTCTTTCACAGTAAACATACTGGGTCAAGGGAGATAGCTTTCTGCCTTAAAGACATAGATCACCCCAAAATAAAAAATGCATATTTTCCCGCTTAGCTGTAGTGCTATTTATCAGTCTAGATTGTCCTGGTGTGAGTTGCTGAGGTGCTGAGGTTGCCAAAAAATACATTTGGAAAACTCAAAAGCAATGTCTCAAGAAATCGTGACCTGGTTACTCAAGATAATCCACAATCCTTGTTGTGAGCAGTTTCATGCGGGCAACTACACTGCCTGGCCAAAAAAAAAGTCACCACCAAAAAAAAAGGTCATACATTCTAATATTTCGTTGGACCGCCTTTAGCTTTGATTACGGCACGCATTCGCTGTGGCATTGTTTCGATAAGCTTCTGCAATGTCACAAGATTTATTTCCATCCAGTGTTGCATTAATTTTTCACCAAGATCTTGCATTGATGATGGTAGAGTCTGACCGCTGCGCAAAGCCTTCTCCAGCACATCCCAAAGATTCTCAATGGGGTTAAGGTCTGGACTCTGTGGTGGCCAATCCATGTGTGAAAATGATGTCTCATGCTCCCTGAACCAGTCTTTCACAATTTGAGCCCGATGAATCCTGGCATTGTCATCTTGGAATATGCCCGTGCCATCAGGGAAGAAAAAATCCATTGATGGAATAACCTGGTCATTCAGTATATTCAGGTAGTCAGCTGACCTCATTCTTTGAGCACATACTGTTGCTGAACCTAGACCTGACCAACTGCAGCAACCCCAGATCATAACACTGCCCCCACAGGCTTGTACAGTAGGCACTAGGCATGATGGGTGCATCACTTCATCTGCCTCTCTTCTTACCCTGATGCGCCCATCACTCTGGAACAGGGTAAATCTGGACTCATCAGACCACATGACCTTCTTCCATTGCTCCAGAGTCCAATCTTTATGCTCCCTAGCAAATTGAAGCCTTTTTTTCCGGTTAGCCTCACTGATTAGTGGTTTTCTTAAGGCTACACAGCTGTTCAGTCCCAATCCCTTGAGTTCCCTTCGCATTGTGTGTGTGGAAATGCTCTTACTTTCACTATTAAACATAGCCCTGAGTTCTACTGTTGTTTTTCTTCGATTTGATCTCACCAAACGTTTAAGTGATCACCAATCACGGTCATTGAGGATTTTTTTCCGGCCACATTTCTTCCTTGAAGACGATGGGTCCCCACTATCCTTCCAGTTTTTAATAATGCGTTGGACAGTTCTTAACCCAATTTTAGTAGTTTCTGCAATCTCCTTAGATGTTTTCTCTGCTTGATGCATGCCAATGATTTGACCCTTCTCAAACAGACTAACATCTTTTCCACGACCACGGGATGTGTCTTTCGACATGGTTGTTTAGGAAATGAGAAGCAACTCATTGCACCAGTTGGGGTTAAATAACTTGTTGCCAGCTGAAAGATAATCGCCCATGCAGTAATTATCCAATAGGAGGCTCGTACCTATTTGCTTAGTTAAATCCAGGTGGCGACTTTTTTTTTGGCCAGGCAGTGTATTTTCTCTACTCCTGCCAACTATATCATGGTGCAGAAGGAAGCATGTATCTACTGCTAACGTAGCTAATGTTACAGCTCAGCCAAGGAGGACGCCAGTAGTAGTAGTAGATGCATGCTTCCTTCTGTGCAGTGATAAAGTAGGCGGCTGTAGTTCGGGAGAGAGAAAATAGTTCCTGCTTGTTCCCGATAATATCAGTATAATTTTTAATATCATATGAAAAATGTATATCATGATACTCTCGATAGTTCGGCTGTGACATGGCATAGCTAAAAGCAAAATTATTAAAGACTCCGTGGTGGTTCCAAAAAGAGGAGCAGTTTCAGTAGTGTGGAATAAACTGTGGCGTCCTGAATGTTTTATGAACAGCCCCGGACTTCTCAGACTCTTTTAGCGAGTTACCGCTCAGAGGGAACTCATTCAGCGGCTCCTCTGGCAGCAGCACAGCGTCTCTCCCTCTCCTCTCTCGCAGTGTGCGAACAGGAGTCAGTGTCGTCAAGTGATCTTGGCATAAACCTCACAGGTTACAGCGTGATGATTATAGGAGAAATGGCAGAGCATAAAGGTCCAGGTGGGAAAAAACCCCAACTCAATCATATACAATTTTGCTAAAAGAAGGAAATCACCTGTTGTTGACAAACTAAAGAAATGAGAGATCATTTTTGTTTGGTTTTTACTGAATATTTGAGAAACCACATCATGATTTCTGGAAAGAGCTTTTTCAAATGTTTCTTCTCTTTGAGCACCACAAACAATCTAGTTCCAAGTGCCATCTAGTTCCATTATATTAAAGGCAGGGTGACATCTCGATGGCCGATATCTCCAACACTCAGCAACTCACACCAAAACAATCTAGATTGATAAACAGCACTACAGGTAAAAGGAACAATATGTAATTTTGATTTTCGGGTGAACTGTCCCTTTAATTCTGTGTTTGTTTGTTTTTTGTTTTTTTGAGTTGGCTTTTTTTGCTTTGGCTTGGTGTGATACAGTATTAATGCCAGGATGACCGATGGTACCAGACTAGCTCGTGCTCTTGCGTCCCTGTCCCGGAGAGCTGGCGCTGCCTCTCTTGCTCTGTGCTGGCAGCTTGCTCACCTTGTCCTTCAGGCCCTTCAAGTTGTACAGCCTGCTAAAAGTGAAGCTAAATGGAGACCTTGCTTCTTCCTGCCAATGTGTTTCCTGCTGTGCTACCGTCTGGTTCTGGGAATGAGGTTGGAGCTGCTCCCCTCTGTTTGAGTGTGTGTGGAGGAAAGAGGCCTGGGGCTTTGGGTAGGGATGTGGATTTAGTGACTGTCCGGGTCTCGTCCTGCCCTGCGCTGCTAGAGGCTGTCGTGAGAGGAGGCTCTGCTGGCCGGGGGAGACTTCGGCCTGCTTCCGTCCCGCTGCCACTGGAGGAGGTGGTCTGGATGGCAGCCTGCGAGGTGATGAGGTATTATCCAAGACCTGGAAATTACCGTGGAGCACCTTGCTTTCTGTCTGGTTCAGCTGACGGGTTTCCCAGGGACGAGGACCCAAAGACTGGTTGCCTGAGATTGGTCGCGGGGGTCTGGGTGGTCGGGAAGGAGAGGACGATCCATTGTTCTGCTGCTGTCCTCGTGGAATTTTGGGAGGAGTGTGCAAAATCTAGGGAAAGATAAGAGAATGGAGATGAGGAGGAATGTATAATGTATGAATAAGGTATCAATGAATCTGACTAGGGTTTATTAAAACACCAGTTCCTCATATTGTATTCTATTTTTACACTGCATTGTAGATGAGTGACATAAAAGCTTTGCTGCAAATGGAAAAGAGAGGTACTTGGGTACAGATGTGGGATCCGTTTTATTGTCACTCTTGTTAATATTACATGACACTGGCGAGCTTAAACATGCCAGCAACACCTCACTGACTCGAGAGAACTATTGTTAGACGAAAAGCGAAGACTCAGGTCGTCGGTGAGTGAGCTAAACCGCCGTCAATAAATGTGAAACTATCAATCTTTTACCGATTCATCAATATTGCATCAGCGGGAACACGGGCCACGCTTCATTAAAAGTATGTCACTTTAATTCACACATAGTCTCCTTGTTCAATAATGAACAAGTGTCGTGCGCTTCGACTTAGCTATGCTCTGCTGGTGCATACTCAACAGACCTCGGCAAACGGGCAGAGATGGTAACCTTGCATAGTGTGCTGCATACACAGCTGATTAACAGACAGATAAATTAATAGATAGCATGAAGCTGCATTTACAAACAATTCACACTGATTGTTAAATATTTGACAATGTTTAAACCAGCTGTGGAGCTGAGTGAGCACCAACACATCAGAGCCAATGACTGTAACACCTCTGTGAAACATCAGCAGACTTCAGCAGCTGAAATTTTGCAACAGGACGTTAAATTTTTGTCCAAACCAGCTGCTGACATAGTACTGGCTTTGTCTGTTTAGCATGGCAAAATAATTTGGGTTAATACAGTGAAGCAAAAGGTGATTAATATTTATATTTACTTCATGATTAAATATCAAGGATAAAGTTTTAAATAATAAACAGCATGAGACACACTTGTCACTATGTCGTGTAAGCTTTCAAGGTTCGTTTAATTAAACGTTAGCTAAAAAAAGGTCCGTTAGAGGACAAGTTTAATATTTGAGAAACACTCTTATTTACTTCCTTGTTGAGAGTTAGGTGAAAAGATTGATACCAATCTTGTGTTTGTACACTAAATATGAAGCTACTGCAGTTAGCAGTTGGCTAATTTAGCTTATCATAAAGAGTGAAACATAGGGAAACAGCTAGCCTGGTTCTGTCCAAAGGTAACAAAGTTCTAGCAGCATCTCAAAAGATTATTTATTAGTATGGTATATCTTTATTTAAAGGTCTTGTGTGCAGGACATAGTGGCATCTAGCAGTGAGGATGCAGACTGCAACCAACTAAAACCTCTATGAGCCAAGCATGTGTGACGAACTACACTGGCCAATGCAAAAATAACTGGTGTGCCATGTTGTGGCTACAGTTGCCCAGAACGGACAAAGAGCCACTCCACATGTAGATGTAAACAGCTCATTCTATGCTATATGAGACATTAATGTTTAGTTGGAAGATGACAAAACTACTCTGAATATGTCACATTAAACACTTTAAAGTAGCATCATTCTTTCTGCTACTGCAGTAATGGGGGGAAAAGTAGCCTATTAATGACTGCTGAGATCTATCTGACCGAAATTATCATTTATTTTTCTAATAAAATATCTTTTTTCCTAGTTCTCATGATATTTTGAGCTGCAGTGATGGAATCAGAGTGTAAAACAGCAACACTGTCACTGCGGACAAAGATTAACTTTGCATACGTTAAAATGCAGCTAAAATCATGTGTTTAGTGCTGCTAACGATCTCTCTGTTTGTTCCAGGCTTTGAGTGGAAATACAGCCTTGAAACAATTAAATGATTCCACTGACCTGTAATAATACACGGGCTACTCTTTATTACCTGTGACTCCAGACTTTCGTCCATGGATACTGCTTTTTTTTAGTGATCTGATTGGTCAGAGGCCAGGACGCTGACAGGCTGTCATCTGATACTCTGAAGTTAACCTGCTCCAGACCAGGTTAGCTGTTTAGCATAATTTACCACAGTGATTTATCCTGGTAAAAAGAGAACCAGCTTCATGGTACTGAAAACCCAGAGTTAACCCTAAAGTTACCTCACTAACTCCAAATCCTGCTTCATAGTACAGGCCTCTGGTGATTTAACCTGGTAAAAACACTGAATACATCAGTTTCACATTACAAACTTCTCCGTAGGGGCTCCTAACTAAGGCAGCCGATGCAAAAACCCGAATGGATCTATCTAGAGCCAGTATTTGGTTTGTATGTTCTGGGCTACTGTAGAAACATCATGATGCAACATGGCTATCTCTGTAGATGACCCACTCCCTGTGTGGATAGAAATGGCTCATTCTAAGGTAACAAAAACACAATGATTCTTATGTTCAGGTGATTATACACTAAAGAAAACTTATGGCGTACGCTGAACAAAATACTGCAAAGTGGTTAGAAAATTCAAATTAAAAATGATTTTGACTTTAAAAGTTGGTTTCTGTGTGATGAGGAGAATTATGTGGCATATAGATGAAAACATCTGCTGCCTGACCTTCTGTCCCTCCGTCTCTTTGATTAACTGGGGCCGGTCTTTCTTCTCCACACTGACGGGTCCTAGTGACGCCTTGTCCACTGCCTTCTCTTTGTCTGGTCTCTTTCCCTCAGAACTCTTCTTAGGTTGAGGGTCACCTGTGGACAATCGCTTTGGCTCTGTTTTGTCATTGGTTAATTCTCCTGGAGTCACTCCTCCATCGACAGCTGCTGATTGGTTTATCACCCTCTTCCTCTTCGGGGCCTGGGGTTGGGCCTCGTGTTTGTTTTCTTCTGTCTCTGTTGAATTTTCTCCTTGTTTTAAATGGTCTGCTGTTCTCTTAGCTTCCTCGCTGCCTCTCCTCTCCGTCCCCTTGTAAACTCCCTCTGTCCTCCTCTCTGGCACTTCTTCTCTCCCATTTTCTTCATTTGTGATTTCCTTTCCATCCCACATTTTTGCCTTCTTCTCAAGTAAAGGAGAAGAAGAGGAGACTCCAGCAGGTCCAGACGAACTCAGTGTTTCATTGCTAGAGGTCCTACTGTCTAGAATGCCCAATGAAGCAGCACAACTGTTAAAATTCATGTATAGAGGACTGGTTGTAGCGTAAGAAGTATTTGTAAGAGTGAAGTCAGTATGATCCTCCATCGCTTCGTGGTTCAGGAGAGAAGGAGAAGGAGAGTCGCTACATTCGTAATAATCCTCTGAGGCGGTGGAGAGAGCGGAGACGTACCCGTCGGGCGTAGGAGTTCGAAAGTCTGGAGTGTGCGACTGTGGATCCGGCGTGTGAGTTCTTGAGTCAGGGGTGGGCGTCTGCGGGAGAAATCCATCTGGAGTCGGAGTGCGTATGAGAGCCGTGAGCGACCGCGATTCTCTCTCAGGTGAACGAAAGTCCGGCGTGTGTATGTCCGAGAGATGCAAGTGCAGGGGTCTTTCAGGTGTGTGTGTGCTTCCACGTGCTTTAGGAATTTGTTCTTGGAAAGTGCTGTGCGTGTTATGTTTTGCAGTATTTGGTATGCCGTCTGTGTGGTGTGCTGGGTTAGCCTGCTGGCCTTGTGTGTCTGCAGCTGCACTGTCTTTGGATATGTGTGTAGCAGACACAGGAGTGTGTGTTAGAGATTTTAAAGAGTCCACAGTCTCTAATGCATCTGTATTATTATATGATATTCTCTGAGGTACACATGCTCTTGCAAGGTACGTTTTGTGCTCTGTGACATTCTCACTTTTTTCATTTGGCACCTCAGTGAGGTCACAGCCTCTTAGTGCTCTTTCTGGGGCCTTTATCTCTGTCTGCGCCTCGGCTTCACAGTCTGTCTGTGGGGTTAATGTGCTTTCTTTTGATGTCAAAGTCTTGGGCTCGACATCTTTTGGAATTATTTCCAGACTACTTTCACTCTCTGCTCTTGGCATGCCAGTAATCAAAACATCTGACCTGGCTTCCAGGTTGTTTCCAGCCACCAACTGCATTCCTTCTCTGTCATCGTGTCGTCCAACTGCTTCCTCATTCTTCGTCTGCTGAGAGGTAAAACTTTGCTGTGGAGATTTCTCTGCATTCTTGACATCTTTTTGTGCCCCTGTCATGCTTCCACTGACATCCTGCAGTGCTGGAACAGTTTCGGGGACTTTTTCTGATGCTACATTTTGAACCACTGGCGGCCCCGTGCTGGGCTCAGGCTTCCTGACAACATTGAACTCTGGCAGCTTCTGGTTATCGCCAGTTACACCGCCTTTGATAACCAGCTGGACAGTGCGAGGTTTAGGGATGGGAGGGGTTGAGGTTGAAGGTGGGGATGTTGAGGATGAAGGGAGGTGAGGATTTGGAGTTGTAGAAGATGAGGTAAGAGGAGGAACGGAAGAAGAGGAGCTGAGGGGGGACAAAGGAGAACAGCCACTGGTAGTCGTGCTTGTAGCAACGGAGACCTGATTGTTTTCAGAGGTGGAACTGACAGACTGAGAGCATGTAGCAGAAGTAGGAGAGGAGGGCTTGTGGCTGTCGGGAGTCATTTCAGAGGAGTTTTGTGGCTGCGTTTGAACAGCCTGTGTGTGCGGCTCTGTGATGTCAGCGGGATGACACAGGTGTGAGGTTTTTGTACTGCTCGTCTCCAGGGTGTTCGTCCTGTACACAACAGCATGATGTGTGTTTGAATTAGTTTCATTTTTAGTGTTTGATCCAGGGAGGACGGTGGCATTTTGTGTGGTGTGTGAAGGCCTCTCAGTGTTAGGAGTGGATGCTTTGTTGCTGGATTGGTGAGGTGTGTGCACATTAAGGTGAGGTGTACCGTTGTGCCCTGCATCTAGGTTGTTGTGCGTGTTTGAATGCAGTTTATTCTCAGCGTTGAGAGTCTTTATTGTGTCATTTTTGGATTCGAACTTTGGTTCAGATATAGGTGGTTTCTGTCCAGGTGCCTCTGCTTTGCTTTTGATGTCACCAGGCTGTGCGTTGAGTTGCGTTGGCTGAGCTCTGCCTACCGCCGACTCTTCAGCTTTGGTTTTATCTTGTGCTGGTTTGAGTTTATTCATCTCCTCATGTTTGGTGGTGAGCTGTCTGGGCTTGGCGACCTCTGGCAGGATTTCCTTAGGCATGCTGAATGGACTGCTAAACTTGATCGCTTGGCTGGTCTGAAACATCTCAGATCTCTGCAGATGGACCTGAGTCGGCTTTTTGGAATCACGAACGTTAATGAACCCAATAACATCACTGGAGGGGTCAGGCTCTGGCCAGGTGGGCAGGTATGGTATCAAGTTCACTTTCTCTAGAATGAGTCCAGGGTGAGTGGGAGGGGCCTCCTGTATGGCTTCTTTACTCCCCCTCCTCCGCCTCCGTTTCTTTGTTTCAGGGTTCTTGGATTCCTCTGGAGTTTGGGTCTCTTTGGGGCCATCAGAAGGGGCCGGGCTGGGGCTGCTTAAAGCAACCAGGGCGTATTTGGGGTTGTACATTTTCCTTGCAATAGCAGCAGAAGGAAGGGGCAATGCGGCCTGTTGTGGGAGGGGCTCCAGCTCAGGTTCAGGCTTTGTGGCGACTTGCCGGAGGTCAACCGAGCTAGAGGATCCGTAGAGGATGCAAAACAGCCTGTCGAACGTTTCCACTGCTTGGCCTGTAGTCACGGTGATGAGATTTCTATCCAGCCGTGATGACATCCAAGTGAAACTACAGAACACAAAGCAAATATGTTAGACTTCTTTTAAGACATTACAAAACTAACACCTCTTAATTGGAAAGTAAACACCAAAATCTCTGAACCAGACAGACAGCTGGGCCATATATACATGTATGTGGATGATAGCAGCAGCGTCTGGTTACTTAGTGACTGCACTGTACACGCATCTATTTGTCTTGTGCACTGGATACATTTACAACCAGTTTGTCTACTGTGCAGAGAATGCTACTGAACATTAACAGACACAGTGCATTCTTCATTTGTATCTCTCCATGCCACACTCATAGAAACAACGACAGGTGGAGCACACGGAGATAATCTGTTTTCTTTCACCGTCTTTCTCTTTCTCACACCCTCAGTGACAAACACAGTCATTAAGAGCACTGACCTGTACGACCCAGACACAGCTTTGTCGCCATCGATGAACATGAATCTGTGTCCCATTCGCCCTCTGACTCTGGTGCAGGACCGAGTGTAGAACTCTGATCCATGTGTGCAGCGTACACGCAGGTGCTGTAACACACAGACACAAAAAGAGTACAGATGTTATACCTTCTCCAGATTCAAAACTAACCCTGCAACCTGTCACCTGAGTGATGTGATGTTGTAAAACTATGACAGTGATAACTTCATCTTGAACTTTGACCTAACATGGTGGTGTTCTATATTAATTTAACAAAATTACAATGACAGTTTAATTTTGGCTTCTTGGGGAAAAATCCTGCACTAACCATTGAGCAAATTGTAATTGAAGTGGTCTGCTTTCAGGCTTTAGGAAATCTAGACCATGAAAGGAGACTTTGGCCAATCACAGGTTGAATCAGAATGTGTTTTCCGCCTCTTTCTCCACCATTACAGACTACCTCTGTGCAGCTCTAATAATGGACCCCCAGTCAGCAACTAAATCCAGCCAGCACAAACCCCAGATCCAGGGGTCCGGGCAGCCCCAGCTCTCCGTTGGATCAGCAAACTTTCTGTTGCTGCTGTTACACAGGTTAGACCCGGCATTGACAGTGGCCACCAGCCTTCTGTGACACCCAGTGTTGAGGGGTTTGCTCTGGCCGAATTCGAGTTACTGTAACCACCGACCGAAGTTCCCTGCTGGGGAGAAAGCGAGAGGGAGGGATTGTGGGTTGGCTAACTAGCTAATTCTTGTCTCATTTGTGGCCTGATTAAGAGGGGCAAGGAGGGGCTGAGCAAATGAGCTGCGTGCACCTGTACACTCAAATTAGATTAAATAAATCATTGTATAGGTAACACTGGGTTACTGCATGATACACGTGCATTTGCCCATGATTGTCTGGTGGGAGGGGCTTAGGACAGAGAGGGGAGAGCTGCAGGAGGAGGGTGTATTTTCTTTTCCAGATTTCTGCCTACACCAGCTTTAATCGGATATTATCAACACAACAAATATTTATAGCATCTAGTATCAAGAACAATTCTTATGATTTTATGAGGGGACCTTATCTTCTTTTTTGATTATCTGTTAGCTGATTGATGGCCACTAGGTGTGAATAAACTACATGAAAAAGGCCGACATACTCCAACATGCTCAGAATCTGTACAGCACAGATACCAATTAAGACATACATATGTCTCAAGCCAAATTTCGTGAACTATGATTTAAGTTTTCCCATAAAACACATTAACAGACATATCAAATGCAAGTTCAAACTGTGTCACTCTGCCTGTTTGACAGTACTTCTTAATAAAAACCCTACAGTCATACACAGACAGTAGGCGCACTAATTTACCACTCTCCACCTGTCATTTAAGCAAATTGCTCTACTTTTTCAAACTGCTGTGCAATTACACATACCACATCCAAACTAAGTACTGTGATTAAATCTTACACAACCCAACATCATGTTAATTGCCATGGATCCTGATTTAATCTTCGTCTTGTCTTTACATGAAGCTTTAAGTGCAGCATTTGACACCACGGACCGCACCGTTCTCTCTTATTACCTTGACGGACTTAATTGGTCACTGTTGGAACTTGCCTGTTTGCTCATTTCTGACTGAAAACACTGCATGTATACAGTAAAAATTACTTCTGTGTCAGGCTTCGGTCAGATTAAAATCTAGTGTCCCACAGGGCTCACTTCTCTGTCCACTTGTTATTTCATTATTTGGTCCAGCCAGACCACAATCAATCCACTACTTCAGAATGCAGCAGCTGGGCTTCTTACTTCTTCTTACGGGAGGAAAGCACATCACTTCAATCCTAGCTTCTCTCCACTGGCTCCCTGTTCGATTTAGGATTGATTTTGAGGTTCTACTGATCATTTATAAAGCTGGTCTGGGTCTGAGCTACATAACAGAAACATTGACCCCATATGAGCCAGTTCACAGCCTTAGATCCTCAGGTGGGGCCCATCTGGCTGCTCTAAAGTAAAGGCTTAAATCTCAAGGTGCTTGTCCCTTTGCCATCAGGTCCCCTCTGCTTCAGAAGGCCTGCTTGAGGAGATAAGGCTTGCAGAATCAGTGACTCAGTTCTTAAAACCCATATTTACAGACATTTGGTCTTTTTATTGCTTTTTTGTTTCTAGCTATTTATATTGTGTTGCATTTTTTGTCATCTTCATGTTGTCTCGCTTATGTTTGCTAAGACTGTTTGGCTTCCCTTTGCTGTATTGCCCTCTGAGTATCCTGTTTCTGCTGTTGCTTTGTCTGTCAAAGCACTTTGTAAACTCTGTTTTTAAAGGTGATATTTAGTTGTTATTATTATAAGCCCATAGTCACACAGGTAAGAATTTAGTGTGTATGTTTGGTTTTTTTTGTTGTTGCATCCTGCACACGTGAACACAGCCACACTAACAGGCCTACAGGTGTGACTATGACTGTATAGCTATAAAGCAATATAGTCATGGGTGTTGCAGTATATGGCGCTGTAGCCATAAAAGACTGTAACAACATTTCAGATAAGAGATTACACATGAAAGGGACCTCGAGCTTAACACTTTCTTTATCAAGTCTTCCTCAGTTCTCTCACTCTGACTCACTTTTTGTTTCTTTCTTTAGGACAGATATGCTTACAAATATCTGTACTTAATCCATCTCAAAAAGACAAAACTGCATCCTAATTCTGACAAAGACATATGCAGCCCTTCTTTGATGGAATGTGGAAGACATTTACTGCAGCTCATGATATCTAATAATCCATTTTTTGTCCTTTGTTGTCAATTGGAGTGCTCAGGTGTTGGAAACAGTCAGGAAGTATCGTGATGCAGTTGTTTGGTTATGATGGTGATCAGTAGTATGGTGCATACAGCAGCCCTGCAAGCTGTAAATAATAGGCCTTAAAGGAGCTGTATGTGACAATTCAAAGCATATCTATGGATCACGCTATAGGGTTGCTACGAAGTCCCTTCTTTACGCTGCCTTTGCATTTTTACACAGAACCAAACAGCATCATGTCGTCCCAGTGTGTGATTTTAGACAGCATGCCGGCAATGCAGAAGCAAAAAAGGCATGACAGGCATGAGGTCTAACACAACAGCATTGGTCTCTAATGTCTAACAACAGCCATGATGTAACGTAGCCATAACAATAATTTACCATCTTTGATATATGGCGGCTGATCTCGTCCTTTGGTCAGAGGGTAAGGAGCTCCTGAACCTCACTGTCTCCCCAGTTTGAGGACATTTTCAGCCACTGTTCTTATTCTTTGAGTTTGCCACTAACTGCTGTTAGCTGCTTTTTTTAAAATCTCCTGGTGGTAACACATCTTCAAAATGTCAGTCCCTTTTACACCGACGTCAATTCGGCACTGTTACTATCTCTGTCGCCAGCTTAAAGTCAACTCTTTCCCCCCATTCCACAATGGTATTTTTTATACAGAATGGCAAGGCAGAATAAAGGCATGATATTATGTCCTTAAACAGAGTAATAATTAAGGAGCTAATGATTGAGTTTGGGCCAGGACTGTCTGCAGATGGTTCTCAACATAGAGCTGGCTAGCACCTATTGGTGCTAACTCCATAAACAGCTAACAACAGCAACACTGATGACAAAGCTAACATTGTTAACCTGGGGAGGAACTGGAGGATGGGTGCAATGCTTCCAAGCCACCAGCGTCTCGATATCAGTGGCAAATGCTGTATGAGTGCAGAACAGAACGGCAATAATGAGCCAGCCAGTAGGACACACTCACAGCGACTCACATGCACTAACATGCGTATGCAACTGGACTATCTACCACAACAACAGAGAAGCTTGGATCATAACACGCACACAGAGCATCCCTTCATTTTGGCTCAGGGTGCCGTTAATGTATTATATCTCAGCCCAAAATGACTGCCATTCCAAAATCTAAGAGCTACTGTGTGAAATGCAGTAAATGTGATTTGCAGCTTTAGCGTGACAGTATCTAAAACTGTTTGGTAACAGATGCCCAGCTGTTTGTAAGCTGTTACAATTACATTAGTTGCTGTGAGTTTAGATTCAGACCATCTCATTTGTGGAGGGCCGTTAAGTCCTCTGAAGGGCAAAACATCAAGAGCCAGGTCCGTCTGAGGGGCCGGATCCTGAACTCAAATGCATGTAGCCAAAACATTAGATAACCAGTTATCTTGATGCACCAGATTATTCCTGGTGTGTCTCACAATAGGAACACTTGTTTTTCTCCTTCCTTTGGTCCCACCCTTGGCTCTCAGTTTGCCTCAGTGCATTCCTTTGGCTACTGATTTGATCAAATCAGCAAATTCCAATGTGTGTGCGTCTCCAGCTCTGAACTGTAGATGAGTGCTTTAGCTGTCCTAGAAAGAATTATGTGAGAAGTCAACCACCAAAGAAGCTTAATTGCTTTTACACAAAACAGCACACCAACTAACTGTCTGTGCATTTGCTACATTTAAAATGCTCTCAGTCTACATCTGGCAGAGGTGTAACATGTGCAGAAACCCCCTCAAATGACCGAAGAGTAAAAAGAAATCTGGCACCTTTTTGACTACATACTCATCCTGCCATCCTGTCCATCCCCTCCTCCACCTGCTCACTCCTGTCACTTACAGTAAAAACTCAAGCTGTCCACAAGCTGTCACACATGTCTGCTGCTCTTCCTGCCAATCATTTCCTCAATTCAGCAGTCCGGACTCGGCTCTCCAACTGTGTGGGAGATTCTGCATTAGCCGCTCATCACTGCTCCTGGTCGTAAATGCCACTTGTACAGCTGTGCCCTCGTCTATTATATTTTCTAGGATGACACATAGGACCCACAGTGATGGGAGTCTGTCAGAGACTTTGTTGAAGGATAAATTTAAAGGGCAGATCCCAGCACAGACAACAGTGTCTAACCGAGCTCATATAAAGTGCTGCTGCCAATTGTGCTCTAAGTATACCAGCTGTCAAACACACCTCATTGAGCTCCATTAAAACACCGGATCTATTTGTTAAGAGCAAGTGAACCATACAGTGGCATTAAAAAATATCAGCCAGCTGTTTGTATTGATTGCTGAATTGATGACACTCACTCTGACAACAAGTGTCAATATGTAATGGCAGCAGGTTCGGTTTGAGTTCAAATAACGATTGCTTTGTATGTATTTCTGCAACGTTTCTCAGGTGCACCACGCCCGAGTGTTACACCTGAGCTACTGTTGTTGATAACTGCATGTGAACTTGGGTCCTGCTCAAAGATTATTGTGATAACACATCCACACTGACAGTAAAAGGAAAACACAAAAGTAAAGCTGTGACACAAGCTGTTTTCTTCATGAACAGCCATTCTGTGATCAAACATTTGACTCATTTAAATGTAGGGCAGCTTGAGGCGGAGAGTGCACTGTGCAGCTGTATTACTATGTGCAGGTTTGCACACTGTACTTGGATTTGGGGCCTAAAACATGATTGAGACATCCCTAAGAACGAAAGTAAAATCAAAATGCTAAATACAGTCAAAATGGTGGCGAAGATACAAAAAACAATGGACTTATTCATCTTGTATTGTGCCTAACTTTAGTGGATGGGTTTGAAATTTAACTGCAGATGCTTTGGGTCAAAATGAGACCAAACTTTTTAATGCATGTTAGTTTTTGAGCCACAACAAACCCCAAAATTGGGCCTGCAACAGACCAGGTAAGGCCTTTTGGTTTCAGCTGAGCCAATATCAGCCGAGACAGCAGCTAATGATGGTAAAAACCAGTCAATAAAGCAGGTTTTTCAACAATTGTAACCCACCACAACTACAAGAGGTCCTTGCGCATAGAGTCATAAATATGCACATACAATATTAGACTGATTGGTCCAGTAGTTTGCAAGATTAGCTGCAGACACAGTAACACACACTCACAACCAAAGCATGATCTCCTCCAGGCTTACCTGCGGGAGCTCATAAAACAAGTAGAAAACAGCTAAAACAACCTCCTCAATCATTTGTCATGTGTAATTGTCAGATATTTAGGTTTCTAAAAAACAAACTGACACATGAGACTGCAAAAATAGCTGCTGCTTTGCATACACTGACAGAGAGTAGAGTGTGTGTGTGGGGGGGGACGTGTTCTTGTATATCTGCAGGATATGTGTGTGTGTGTGTGTGTGTGTGTGTGTAAATATGTCTGTCAGCACATATGCATTTGTGTGCACACCCCGTGTGCAAATGCATTGTTTTCATGCCTCTTGAGGTCTCCTAAACACAGCTTTCTGCATCTTCTATGTCTTACCTCTGCCTGCCAAATACTGCTCTAACACACTGTATACCTATTATGACTTTGAACTTAACTAGTACACTGGGAGCCTTTGTGGAAATTTTCCATCCCCGCTTCTCCTGTATGTTGGATCATCTAAATGATCCCCTCTATAGAAAAGAGAAATAAAGCAGCAGCATTGAAGCAAGCAAGCAAAAAGTCAGACTCCTGCCAGCCAGATACCACACTGCTATGCTAACCATTAAAGGCCTATCCTCTATGAAGACATTCTTATAGGCTGACTTGGCAGTTTGATCAAAAGATTTATGTCTTACTGGAGATACAGGTGTATTTTCCACGTAACTCTCTTTTACTTGTCCCGGCATGAGCAAAATGTGTTTTCTAACTTGTGCTTTTCATGGTAGCCAGCCAATTATGGAATAAAACAGTCCAGGTAAAGCAACAAGGTAGAAGATTCGTCTATGATACAGTGCCAGCTGGGAGGGTTTGCTGGTTGTTTGAGTACTGGTGAGTGTGTGTGTGTGTGAGAGAGACAGAAAGCAAAAGAGAGAAAGAGAAAGGGAGGGATGGCATGTGCTTTCACTTATCCACGCATAACGAAAACCTCTTGACTTCAATTGCGCGTCTTTCTTTCAAACAACAATTTGTATTCATTGTCATTCATAGCAGCGTCTTACAGATATGTTACGGTCTCAAACTAAGCTGATCATTTTCTTGCTTTCCGAACATCTGGAAATTCCACCCCTCACAATCCAAAGGTCAGATTCACTCTATTCGTGAAACATTTACTACCTATGAAGAAACTGAAATTTTATCCTCACACAATTGTTGATGAACTTTATTATTTGTCATCTTATTATTCTGTTTGTGTGACATATAATACACAGCAATATTGGTTGTTTTAGAGTAAAATATGGCCAGTTTGCCATGACATTTCCTCTCCACAGAAAATATGTCATGGTTTATAGCGATTGGGTCACAGTTAGATGATTTCCCTGGTAAAACCCAAAAAGCTCCTGGAAACACATCCTTAATTTCCAGGGCTGGTACCTGCGGTTATTCCACAGGCTAGTTAATAACATGTCGGGCAAGAAATCCAAAGTGTGGGATCATTTTGAGAAGGTGAAGGACGAACCCAAGGTGATATGTAAACTCATCTTCATTGGTCGACTACAAACATGACGTATCATCTGAAACATGGAAGTAGCTACATGCCCATTAGCCCACAGTGTCACTAATACTATTCTTTCTCACACCTTCAACTCAAACCATTGTGTTGCCCCACCCAAAATATATAATTTAATAATCAAATAAATATCATAAACATGCGGGTGACTTGTCAACTAATGACCCTAAATGACTACTGGGAAAATTCTTAGTTGGGGTCAGCCCTAGATTTTACTGAGCACATATTGACTCTCCAGATGGACTTGTTTTAACTTAGCTACAACTAAGCCTTGCCCTCTGATGCTAAACGTCAGACCACTGACTCACCTTGAGGTGTCCGGCATGCATGTCAGCCCTCTGACACATGGATCGGAAATGAGGTAGTGTTGCGCGCTCCAACAGGATGTAGACTGACACTTTCCTCTTGAAACCAGCATCTAGCAAATCTCTGAAGATGTCGACATCGGTGAACACATCCATCACCACTGCAATTACCTGGAGGAAAACACACATGACTTACATCACACCCATGTGTCAAACACTCTCGCATAATTCCATGCATACATTGTCTATGCATGCAAGTGACTTGAGGTTAATGTGAGCACACATGTACATGCAAACATAACAGAGTTTAACCTTCTCTGCCAAAACAAATACGATTCAAGTTGTTCTACGGGTTTGAGTAAAATACGATTGCACAAGTTTTTCTGTGCAAAACTCTCCAGGCGATAATTAACGCTATATATATTCTCCAAGCTCATACTGTATATGACCCATATATCTTATTTTTACTGTCGGAAACTCTTCAGGAAATTGCCATAGGATGTTTTAGACAAGTAACACATGCCACTGAGAACAGCTGCTGAGAAATAAAACATGTCACAGTGCCTTTGGATATGTCGGCTGCAGAACAGACAGAGGCACACACTCATAGGCAGTTATACACGTGCAATTGCAGTAGACATGCAAAATGTCCAACATAACAGACATGCTCCTGTCTTGCACTAGACCCTGATAAAGCAGTTTAATCAAGTTGCACTTTACTCTTTATTGTTTCACTTGGTCAACATCAGTCTGTACTCTGATCTCATACTGACAGAGCCATGGCTGCTCATGGTTACATTATATCAACATTAAAGTTAATCATCTGAATGGGCACAGCAGGTCAGAGACATTACTGAAGACCAATAAAAAAGACATTCATTGATGCACTAGTAAGGTTGTTGGAGGTTGTTGTATGACTTAATGTTGGTGAAAGTGGACTGAGTTCACTTCAGCACATTGTAAAGCAATGACAACAAGACTCAAAATGACTGCAAAGGAATGTCGCACGACTACAAAGAGACACAGAAAGTCCACAAAGACACACAAAATGACTGCACGAAGATGTAACACAGCTGCAAAGACCCACAAAGAGACAATACCAACAAAAAATTGCAATCCCCCATCCTCACATGCAGACTCAAAATGACCACAAAGAGCTGCAAAACAACCACAAAGACACACAAAATAACTACACAAAAAAAAGGAAAAAAAAAAGATGTAAACAGCTGCAAAGAGACAATACCAACAAAAAAATGCAACCCACCCACCATCCTCACAAACACACTCAAAATGACCACAAAGAGCTGTAAAATTACTACAAAGAGACACAAAATGATTACACAGAAATGCAAAGCAAATGCAAAGAGACTCACAATGACTGCAAAGAAACACTGAACACTACAAAGAGACACAAAAAGTCCACAAAGACACACAAAATGACTACACAAAGATGTAAAACTGCTGCAGAGACACTCAAAGAGGCAATAACTACACAGGTGATGACCACAAAGAGATGCAAAACAGCTGCAAAGGGACACAGAGACTCACAACAACAACAAAAAGAGGCAAAACAACCACAAAGAGACAGAAAAAGTCCACAAAGACACACAAAATGACAACACAAACATGTAAAACAGCTGCAAAGACACACAAAGAGACAATACTAAAAAAAATTGCAATCCCCGCATCGTCACATACAGACTCAAAATGACCACAAAGAGCTGCAAAATGATACAGACACTCAAAACAACGCAAGGCCAAAAGGGGAAAAACAACCATAGGGCTCAAAAACTACAAAGACACACAAAACAACAACACAAAGAGGCTGAACAACTAGAGTGCCTGCATGTCTGGTTCCTATGTAAAAGGTGGAGGGGCTTTTTACATGTCTGTGCCCAGAGGCTCACTGTCTCACAATCCGCACGTGGCCAAATTAACATTATTCTGTCCATTAGTGGCATAACATACCTTTTGCGCCTGCGCAATCATCTTCCTGACAACTTCTTTGATGTGCGCCTGGTCCTCCATTGGTGGCTGCGTGTACACGGTAGTGCGCGTGACCCCCCGGTAAGAAATGCTCTCCGGCCAGCCCAGGTCCATCTGCGGGATGGACGTGTCCGACAGGTCGGGCCAGTAGTGCTCTGACAGCGGCGGGGGCTCGTCCTCCTCGGCATCCTCCGGAAAGAGCTCCAAGCCCGGGTCATAGGGCTCCACCGCCCCGGCGAGAGTGTCCAGCTCCGGGTCTGAGAGGAAGCCGCGCAGGCCGTGGGTCCCCAGGTACTTAACAAACGCCTCGCGACCTTCCCGCAGGAAAGCCTCCAGCGCGAGCCGCTGGTCCTCGCTGTACAGGAACTCCGGTTTGGACTCGTGCGTCCGCGGGTTCACATGGTTATCGTCCAGGCACAGTATTTGGGACAGAGCCATGGCTCGCGCACAAAAGTAAACAGTAGGCTATAACTTTAACTCCAAGTTTCACGTGACGCTCCTAACTTTGGTTAAAGAAAGCTCCTTAAAAGTGCTCTAATTGGTCCTCTGTGCAGGAGTTCAGCTCCAAACGTCACACATATAACTTCATGTGGTCTCCTGCTGCGATCAGCTGTGTTAGTCCTGTGACCGGCCATGGTGCATTTAACACTCCGCCATTGTCATTCCCAGTTTCCAAATGAAGAAAGTAACCGGCCACACTGAAAGCAACAGACCGACTTAGTGAGTGAGTGACACCCGCTGCTGGCGGCACCGCCCGACAGGTGTGACCCTGACAGGCAAAACAGTAACACCCACCCACATACATACTGAAACGTGCACACCTTTGTCACGTGACCTTGTAGGACTGTTTGTGCGCTGTGGACTGAGAAATAAGATACCGGTATGTTTGATTTGACTGAATAACTCCAGTGATTAACGAGGCAACCCCTCCCCCCCTACCAAAGCCTCATTAAATCATTAGAGTGCCAGCTCCTCTCACAGATGAGACATCGCCTGAAAACCATCAGCACATCATACATAACAGTGCCGTGCCCGTTTTACCTGTTCTGTCATGTCTCTGTGCGCTGTTGCTGCCAGGATGGGAGTTTGCATTTTCCAAAGATCAAAACGAAAAGTACATAATTACTTTATAGAAAGGCAAAAACAAGATGAAGAGATTAGGGTGGAATTAATGGGATATGAAAACACTGACTGCAGGGAACAGACCATATCCCTTTAATTTTCCTTAAAATAACCATAAGTAAGAACATCTTAAACCAAAAACTGCATGTTCACTTAAGCAGAGCATTATCACTGACCTTTAAACTCAGTCCTGTATGTGTCTCCTTCTCGGTAAGCACTTTCCAAAACTTAAATAATACCATGACATTAATTACAGTAAGATTTACGCAGCCCTTCACAATAAAAGACAGCGCAACAAAGATCGCAGCCAAATCAAACACACAACCTCAAGGTTATAAGACATATTTAATAACCCTATTTGAACTTGATATTGCAAAGATCTCACTTGATTATCAGTAATTAGAATCACACGATGCAGCCCGCACTCATCTCTGATGTCGCTGTATTACATGTCATTAGATACTCTATAAAATGGTGGGAGAAAAGGAGATTACAATAAAGGCTGAAGGGTGGCGTGGCTGTTACTGTGCAGCAGGATGGTGTTATAATGTGCTGCTCTCTGGGAGGTGAGGTCAGTATTTACATGCACATGTAGGGGAGACCAGGGATGGTTGTAACACTTTCACCAAGGAATTAGCATGCTGCAGCACAGCCAAGTTTATTCCTGAGCATGCTTCTGTAGAAATGATTATGGGCGCAGCGCTGTAGCCTATGTTGTAGCCTACGACGAACAAAAGGAAAGTGGTCGGCCCTTGTGGTAAATGTTTGTTGCACTGATGAAGTAACAAAATGATGCAGATATTCCTAGTTGGGTGTTAGTTTTGCTGCAGAAGCCTAAATTTTACCCCTCCAATGTCACTGATTCAAATTATAAAATGACTGTTACAGTGATATATTACACACACTGGCCTTTGTACATAGTATCTTTTCGTCTTTCTAGTGCCTGTATTAACGCACTAATGTAGCATTTTATTTAGCACGTTTTTATTCTAATACTATTGCTTAAGTAAGATCTTAATTGTAGGACTTTAATTTGTAGCAGAGTATTGTTACAGTGTGGCATTTTGTGTCTAAAGCCGAGTTTAGACCAAAGATTTGCGATAAATTGAAACAGGCAACTACTTGCAATGCACCATTCTGCAACGTTCTAAAAACGTGCTGGTTCACATCAATGCAACTAGATGAGACGGTGTATCATCTCTATGCAACAGCTCTCTGTGCTTCTGTTCTGATTTGCAGCTTTTCAGACTTATTTTGTGGCTGAATATAATTTGTAGCTTCCTGAAATATGATACCGGCACACTGTGAGGACAGAGACAGAGGGCTCAGCAGGGACGGAGCACGTGCTGCAGCAGGCGAACTGCTGATCTGTGGTCATTTTGACTTGACCAGTGGACTTTGCTACAAGCTGATTGACTGTAGAAACCGGTGACGTGCCTTGCGTTCTAAAACCAGCTGGTGGCGATTTGACCGGCTGAGTTGCAGGTGACGCCATCATCCGGCGTGAGTGGAGCTCAGACGGCTTTTCTCTGAAACGTCCTGAAAAGGTTTCATCTCGACACGAATCATTGGTCTGAACTAGGGTTGGGACTCGTTAGGATTTTAACGATTCCGATTCCTTACCGATTCCTTCTTAACGGTCCTATTCCTTACTGATTCCTCTTACCGATTCCTACATAATATTCATTATACTTGCTATACTTAATAGTAAAAGTATATAATAAACACAAATGCAATCATACAAATACAAAAACTTTATTCTAACTGTTGCACAGTACAATTAGATGAAAATACACATTTGTGTGTGGTGTGTATTTCAGATTTAGAGCTTGTATCATCTCCCTGAAAATATATAACAACAAAAAGTGATTCTCTGATTTCTACAGTAACACTATTACCTCAAATTAACCACAGCAATGTAATAAAAAATACTTATATGCATGCATGCTTGGGCACTGTTATTTACATGACAATACCTGAACAGAACACACACACACGTTGGCTGTTTGTTTCTACTGCTCCCCTCGCTGGAAGCGAACCTCCCACCGCCCGCCTCCACCTTGATTAAACGCTGAAAATAAAATAAAAGAGGGAGACAGGTTTTTCCTATTTTATCTTATTTTGTTATATTTCTCCCTCTCCCCTCGCTGGAAGCAGCGGACCTCCCGCCTCCCGCTCCCGTCTCAAACACGGAGGTCTCCCTCTCCGCAGAGCACCCATGGCGCATGCCCGGCCTGTTAAATAGCCTGTAACCATGACAACTGTGTGACACAAACTCAGTGCTTTAGTGATTAGATAATGTCGGGCTCAGTCGGGTTTGGATAGAAATATGCGGCCCGTGCCGCACTCTAATGGAAATGCACGTGATGTTTTTTTTTTTTTTTTTACAATCTAGGAACCGTTTGCAGGAACTGTTACGCCAAATGTGATGGAACCGGTTCCACAACCGGAACTTTGGACCCGGGTCCAAAAAAGAACCGGATCTGGATCCCAACCCTAGTCTGAACTGGGCCTAAGTTGCGAATGACCACAATTTTTTAAACTGGTCCAGTATTGAGCGAGAGGGCTGCAATCTGATCACTCGGGACATTTGTGCACTGTTAATTTACATCCACTTAAAGTGCTTGTTTTCTCCACTGACAGGCTCAGATTGTTTATATAAGTGTCTAACAACATGATGGAAAGGATCCCTACAGAGATAGGCCTTTTTGTTGTAGAGTAAGATCCTTTATGCTTTAAGAGGAACAGCCTTGAAATCACTAACGCCAAACCCACCAGACTCCATTTAAATAAACATAAATTTTATCACTGTAAAAACCACTTCATGCAAAATCGACAGACACAAAGTAAAACTCACAAAATTGCCCTGGTTTGTCACTCCACTGTTCCAACAATTACTGACTCTGGTTTGGTTGAAGTAAACCCTTAGTTCACCAAGTTAGCTGTGAAAAATATGCTGACTCTATACACACTTAAATTACTGCTTATTTAAATGGAGTTTGGTGGAACTGATAGTAGCGATGTTTTTTTTTTTACTTTAACAAAAGGTCTGTCTCTGTTAGGATCATTTCCATAATGCTGCCAGACAGTATCTGAGCCTGTCAGTGGCAAAAGAATGCATTTTTAGAGTATGTAAATTGACGGTGCAGAACTACCCCGATTGATGGTATTACAGCCTGTTTTGCCACTGCCAGCTGCAGCCCTCTTACTCAGTGCTGGACCAGTTTCAAAAACTGTTGATCCTATTAGTAACTCTGACACAAAAACATTGGAAAGAATGTACAAGTTGAAAAAAGTTACCCTATCTGCACATCAGTGTGAGTGAACATGTCAAACAGGTTGTCTCCAGTGGCTTGCACACAGATTCCAAATGACCAGTATGTGTTCCACCTTTTGAGGCCTAAACAGCAGATGATGTGACAGTGACAGAGCTTGGTTGGTTTTCCTGGGCAGCTGTACTTGAGGCACCTTTAAATATTTCAAACTTCCTCTCTGTCTGGCTGTCACTGCTGATCACATGTTCAGCAAATTACAGGGTGAATCACTGGCTGATATCTCACTGAGTCACCAACTGCCCATCTCTTGATTTACCGACCTTGACTGTCAGAGTGTGATGAATTATCTGACTAACTGTTGTGCTCGTTTACTGGGAGTTGGACTGGTTTGCAGGGTGATGGTGGTTATTTCTCCTTTTATTGTCAGGACCTCAATAGCTAGAGGCTGTCAGTCAGTCAGTCAGTCAGTCAGTCAGTCAAACTGGTTCAACTGTTTTCGTTGTATTTGTTTCTGACGCCTGTGACTATCACTGATGTCACAGCTCCCACACCTTCCCCCGCTGTTTGCTCTTTTATTGTCACTCTCACTTGAATAGTGACACACTGCTTCCTCACCCTGCCCTTGCATTTTTTATTAGTATCATCTGCCTCTTCCTCTCTGATTTTGTCTCCCACTGTTGCTTGTTATCAACCTTTAACATCCTCTTATCTCCATCCCGTCTCGTGTCGCTGCCGCCTCATAACGACTTCACTTTCCCTCCTGTTTACCTCCGTTTTTCTCTCATGTGTTACTTTACACTGTTTTCTTTCTGACAGCTTGTCTGTGACGTTTAGTATTCTTACGTCGTCTCACTTCTAGTGTATGACACAAATATGTCATGATGAATGTGTGTCTGTATCACACACACAGCCTTTATCAACGGCGCACACACACTTCAAAGTGACTCAGCAGTTTTTAAAAAAGAACAGAGGAGGAAAACAGCAGTACTATTTCTGGTACACCTTTAACTCCTCTCTTCTTCTCCCCCGCTGGATGCCGGTGGTTTATTGACTAGCTGTCACTGGTGAGCCAGAGGTGACTCTGTCAGTAGGAATGAAAGAAGTGGTTTGTTAAAAAACATAAGAGCAGACAAAAGAGTGAAAGAAAAGAGAACAGAAGTGATTCAGTCCGGGGGAATTAGGGGATGTAACCCTGTTTCCTGCCTCATTTTAAGCATCACACCTCACATCCTGGTGAGAGAAGCAGCGCTGCATTCCTGGCATAGCACCAGTCAACTGCCAGAGTACACTGCGCTTACATCTTTAATGACATATATATATAATGTGTGTGTGTGTGTGTGTGTGTGTGTGTGTCTGTCTGTCAT